AGTTTGACTTCATCTTTTTCAAAACTAAAATTTTTTAAAAAACGTCCTTCCGAAGCGGGCAACGGGATTTCAATTCCGATGACCGACGGCTTCTTACGGGCAAACCCCACACCAAAAATAGTGCCGACAATGATATACTATGAGATAGTGATTATAGTTAACAAACCCTTATCTCAAGGCAGGAAAGGATAACATAGTTCCTTGAGCTACAATGTCACCGTGCAAATGAGCTCATTGCCCCGTGGTAGCAGACCGTCATAGTGGAGAGAAGCTATTGGAGTTTCAATGCACAGTCTTCGACACAATGTTTGGTACGATACCCCGCTTCTTAGGTTGTTCCACGACATCGGTTGCTGCTTCCCAAGTGCTTCATCATAAGGAGCTGGCAACAACCCATAGTGGTCGATCAGGGGCAGCCGACGTGCGGTGTTTGATGGTGGTCAATGGTTATAGAGGCAATGGGTGTTTGCTCGGTTGCTGCTTCCCAAGTGCTTCATCATAAGGAGCAGGCAACAACCCATAGTGGTCGATCAGGGGCAGCCGGCGTGCGGTGGTTGATGGTGGTCGATGGCTATAGAGGCAATGGGTGTTTGCCGAATCGTCAATGTAAGATCCTGGAATTCAATTCTCTCTTCTCCAGGATATGGTTTTTCTCTTGCTCAGAATCTAATCCCTTTTCAAGAGAGGAATAATGCTCTACTTATAGAAACTATGTTGCAAATAAAGAAGGAATTCATACCACTATGATCAAAAAGACCAGAGAGATCCCTTTGGTCTTTAATCGAACGGTATTCGATGGACATTTGAGTGTCTTAATAATGTCGAAATTGAGTAATTGTGGACTCATTAGAATCATGTTGTTGGGATGTTAGATTTGATTATAAGCTTGTTAGGTTTGAAATATGTTTGACATTCTAATTGTGCTTGGAGAGCTTCTAAAAGTGGTTTAATGGTTTGATTTAGCTTGATTTGAATCTGATTTGGTCAGTTTTGTTACTATTGGGTGTCTCGTCGAACTAGTCATTTTGACTATATGTTTTCTTAAATTAGAGTTTTGGCTGACTTTTAATCAAAGTTTGAACATTATTTACTCAAAAAGTTGTCACGAGATTCATACCATGTCCCAAGATTCATAAAGGATGATTAAAAGCTGTTGACAACATATCAAATCTTGAGACACTTTTAAATAATTAATGTTCTGATTCAATTTAAAAATCACCTAGGTAATGATTTCAACAAGTTTATAGTCAAACTGACCGTCTCGACAAGCCAAACACAACGATACCAAAATTGGTTCAATCTGAATCCAACCAAACCCAAATCAAGCCATTAATGCACATTTGGAAGCTTTGAAACTTCAATTGAATTGTCAAATGAACTCTAAAGACATATTTATAGTTAAATCGAGCACATTGACGGGAGGAATTCAACAACTTAAGATCACTCAATTTTGAAGTTATTAAGACCCTGAGATCATGAAATAAAAAAAAAGCTTGTATGATCAAGAGGAGCCAATATAAACTGTCTAATCCAGTGGTTAGGGAAGTTACGTGCCAAATGACCAAAACTCTCCTACCTTAGAGGCTATAAGTAGGCCCCTTATTTTCACTTGAGGGAAAAAAAGGGAAAGAAGAGGAATTTTAGACCTTGTTCTAGGCTAAGAACCCGGTGTTAATTTTCGGCCTTTGTAGCTGCTGACCACCATAAACTATTACCTATCAACCACCATTGATCACCGCCTATTAACCACCATCGACCACCGCCGATGGTCACTAATTGTTGTTGCCTACCTCCAGCCGTCGTTGACCTTGCATGCAAATTTCGTGTCTCAAATATGACCGCAACATATAACACCCATGTTGGAGACCCGATGATAGCTTCCGGCCTTTTTATTAGTCGACCACCGTGTGACCACCGTCGACCATCACCACCTCCCGGTGCTGACCAACACTGACCACTTCTTACGGTTGTCATAGCCAAAACACAATGGTTGTTCATAGCACCTGTATTTTTCCTTACGTTGTATAAATATAAATATAGTATTTCGTGTGAAATTGTAACCTACATTTATATTTACACCAAACACTACATTTTACACCAACTGCAGCATTTAAGTTGGTGTTTGGACCCCTTTTCTATTGCAGACACCGACTACAATGTCTAATCTCTATGGCTAATTAGTACTGCTACAACCATCATCTAATCCTCTATGGCCAACTATTTCAATTACAGTCAAGAACCATGACTGTTGTAGTCTAATTATGGCTATCATAACTAAACTATTATCGTACATTTATGATGATCAATTTTATAATTTCATCTTCTCTAATTCAGGAGAATAGTTAACTTATATACTTAAAATTACATAATATACCATTTTGGATGGGCTCTGTCTTATTATTTTATTTTTTCTTTTCAGAATTTTCCACATAGATATTACTTTATGGCATCGAATTTTTCAAAACTCGTCCATTCTGATGTGAAATTAAGAACGCCGGCCCTCAATAAAGCTTTTATAAAACTCGTCCATTCTGATGTGAAATTAAGAACGCCAGCCCTCAATAAAGCTCTTATTTTCAGAAAATGGTGTTCTGAATCATCCATTGGTGGGACACTTCTGGCCGGCAAAAATTATTTTATATATATCTATATATATGTGCACTTATAAACTAACTTACGAAGGGTCGCATAATTTGATTAACGAATATGATAATTTTAATTTAATATGATATATATGCGTGAAGATTGAGTGCTTATAAATTGTTCGGTTGCCATATCAGTGGAGCTCGAACCAGTGCTTCTCTCTCTTCGCCGCCTAACTTCATCTTCCTCCGCAGTCTAACATCTTCATGGATATGGAGATAGGCAGGTCCATGCCGGAGTTCTCCGGCCATGGTGAAACTCCGGCGGCCGGAAAACGTTTACCTTTCTGTTTTCCTCGAGTCAGCTCAGTGAGTTGTTGAATCCTTGTTCCGATCGATTAAATTGCATGGCCTTCATTTCTTAAACCTCCTTTTTAGATGAATTGATTAATTATTATTATTATTATTATTATTTGATGATGAGGGCTGCTAAAAGAGGAAAAAATATTCCGTCCGGACGTCCGGACGTCCGCACATCCGGACAATCAACCACCAGTGGCCACATGCGTGTATTATGTTGCGGCCGCCGATGACTGGCTGTCCAGACGTCTCCTAAGAGTGATAAATTTAATTTAGGTGTCAAGCACCTAAACTCTAATATTTAGATTTTAACCACCTAAAATTTACATCTTTCACAAATTTATCACTCTTATACAATTTCCACCCTTTCATACATAAGAAAAAAGTGCTTACAAGTAAAAATCGAAGTTTGGACGTTTCATGCATAAGTATGGGGATTATGTTAAATTTTCTTTTTGTTAAGGATAATTACATGCAGGACACTAAAATTATTGATATTTACAAATCAAGCACTTAAGTGACCTTTCAAACTACGGAACAGAAGCACTTACGTGTGCCACGATCAAACTATTGTGATTTTGACGAAAATGAAAAGTATCAGCTGGAGATTTATCATGACCTCTGATATTTGGGGAGAACTTGAAAATTTGATGGAAGAAGTTGCTTGATTTGCAAATATCAATATTTTGGACGCAACAATTGTTCCTAATTTAATCTCCAGCACCTTTGGATATATTATCATAATTATATTTTTATATTATTATATCATATCATGTTGTTCATGTTTTTATATCTATCTACAACAATATTGTTTTTTCGTCCGATTACAATTATTTATTTATTTTCTTAATCTTATTGTGGGCAGAATAGTAATTATTGGAGAGATATTGTTCTGGCTTATAAGACGCTGGGAGTAGTATTTGGAGGTCTTGTTACTTCACCTCTGTATGTTTATCCCTCCATGAACCTGCAATCTCCTACAGAAGAAGATTATTTGGGTATTTACAGCATCATGTTCTGGACTCTGACTCTGATTGGTGTGGTGAAGTACATCTGTATTGCTCTGAATGCCGACGATCACGGCGAAGGTGAGACGTACAGTTTATGTTGCGGATAACGTACGTGCGGATTGTGATGAATGCCATCATAATACTGCCACGATACTAGCAAATCAGTAACTATCCGTATCTATTCTGTCCGCACGTAATATTGCTTAGTTTCTTTTGTTTTCTCGTGGAGTGTTTATGTGCATGCGGCATAATTCTTATATATGTGTTTACATAGCTAACAACTAAAATTTACTTTTTTACATTTATAGCTCGCTACTCTTTGTATCACATACGTAATAAGATGGTCTATGCAAAAATTGAAGTTTTGGTGATAGGCATGTAAATAAGTAGGAATTAAGTGGTATCACATACAAAATATTACTATTTTATATCAAGTGATCTCTTATTATTTCTCTCACTCATTCTTTTTATCATTATATTATAACATTGACTTATATTAATATTATTTTCTTTCTTACATAATAAAAAAGTCCGCTCGTGAGCCAACTTGAACTCGTCGACTTATGAGCTAAAGCTCGAACTCAATTAGTTAATCAGACTCAACCTCAAGTCGAGGGTAATTCGAGTTAAATTCGATCTGTTCACATTGCTAGATGTGTTCTATAATAGCTTTTTTTCTCCTATATGAATATTGGGTCAGTTGGTGGAGGAAACATTTCGTCTTGACGGTCAACCATCGGCGACCACATCACCATAAGCGTCATCGGCGGCGGGTGATGTGGCCATCAATAGTTGGCCGTCCTGGACGTCTGAATAAAATATTGGTCCTACTAATATTATTTGTGTGCTTGATTTGCCTATGTCGGCTCCTTGCAAGGCAATAATTGATCGCACTAATTGATATGTTCATCCTTCTTTATGCAAATTTCTTATTATGGCTTCAATAAAAACTTTTCCTTCTGTGGAAAATTAGGTATATACACCAAATAAGGATTTCTTGCCTTGATGAATCTAAAACTTTTCAATCTAACTGATTAGCTTCGACAATATTATTTAGAAGATTATGAGGTTAAATTCAAATCAAAATATTAAATATAACCCTAAAACACGAAAAATATTATATCCGCACGTCCGCACAACAAATTGTTGGGCGCCACGTCGCCCAACATTAGCATGTATGGCGACGTGGCGCCAGCACTTGGCCGTCCGAACTTGTAGTGTCCGGACATAAAATTTTCTCCTAAAATATAAGCATGATAGACATCATTATTTGAGAGAGATTTTTTTTTTTTGTGAGTGGAAGGAGTAATTAACTTTGGGTGCATATATGAGGTTTTAACTTTTGATATTCGTGTGTGTTGGAAGATTTGTGCTCGAAGATTCGCGGCGTTAGAGTGACTATTTAGTGTCTTAGTATCGCACGAAAATCCAACACACATTCAAATAATATAAGTGATAGGTAAAAATATCATAAGTTTTTACGTGGAAAACAATGGAAGTGAAAATCCCACAGAGCCTAGCCCAGTCATCATGATCTACTGTGAATTTGTGACTACACATTTTCTCGAAACACAATACTCGTTGCGCAACAATCAGGAGTGATTGTATTTGAGAGTAATTACTGGAAATTTAATATACCGTCTTCAAGATGAGTCATTGCACAGAGTTTAGGACGATACACTGCTCCGTCAGGTGTTTCGTTAATCAATAACTTATGCCAGGATTTTGCAACGTACATCGTGATTTCACAAAGCATTTTCATTGCAATGAGCATGGGGCCGCCAACGGTGGTCGACAACAGCTGGCAAGCATTTGTCGCCGATGGCCGATGAGCATTGGTCGATGATGGTCGGTTGCTGTAGGAGTGGGAAGCGTTCACCAGGTCTTCGATTCAGAATGACACTGAAATTTAGCTCCTTCTTTGAGAACTAGCTGTAGATTCATCTCTTCTTTTAGTTTAAGGCCTAGATCCCCTTTCACAAAGAGTCTTGGAGTGGCTTCCTTACAAATAAAGAAGAAATTCATACCATTCCAAAAGGCAGTCTTGAGAGATTCCCCTAATCAAAGAATATTTTATGGACATTTAAGTGACTTAACGATGTCATAATCAATTGATATTAGACTCATTGATTTTGTCTCATTGAAAGACTCGATTTGATTATAAACTTGTCAAATTTGGAATCCATATGATCTTCCAATTATCCACTCAAAATTTTCAAAAGTAAAAAGTGATTTAATGACTTGATCCGAGCTTTATTCGACTCGGATTTGACCAATTTTGGTGTCATTGTGTTTGTCTTATCAAACTGGTTAGTTTGACTACAAGTTTGCTGAAATCAGAGTTCTAAATAATTTTTAATTAAAGCATGAATGTTTCTTGTTAAAAAAAAATGCTTTGAGATACGCGCCAATCACTTCGAGATTCCTGTCAATTGTCAAATTTTATTGATGATGTATAGGATTTAAATGAACCACGGTCTAAACATTTTAACAAATCTTATTAAAATAAGAAAATTTTACATACACAAATCTTATGTTTTTTTTTGGCACTTATAAGCTGCCCCAAACGGACCCTAAGACTTTTCAATCTAACAGATTAGCTTGAAAATATTATTTTAGAAGATTATGAGGTTAAATTCAAATAAAAATATTAAATATAACCCTAGAATATGAAAAATATTATATCCGCATGTCCGCAGCACAAACTATAGGGCGCCACGTCGCCCAACATCAGCGTGTATGGCGATGTGGCGCCAGCACTTGGCTGTCCGGACTTGCGGGGTCTGGACATAAAATTTTCTCCTAAAATATAAGCATGATAGACATCATTATTTGAGAGAGATTTTTTTTTTTTGTGAGTGGAAGGAGTAATTAACTTTGGGTGCATATATGAGGTTTTAACTTTTGATATTCATGTGTGTTGGAAGATTTGTCCTCGAAGATTCACGGCGTTAGAGTGACTATTTAGTGTCTTAGTTTGCACGAAAGTCCAACACACATTCAGATAATATAAGTGATAGGTAAAAATATCATATGTTTTTACGTGGAAAACAATGAAAGTGAAAAACCCACAGAGCCTAGCCCAGTCATAATTATCTACTTTGAATTTGCGACTACACATTTTCTCGAAACACAATGCTCGTTGCGCAACAATCAGGAGTGATTGTATTTGAGAGTAATTACTGGAAATTTAATATACCGTCTTCAAGATGAGTCATTGCACAGAGTTTAGGACGATACACTGCTATGTCAGGTGCTTCGTTAATTAATAACTTATGTCAGGATTTTGTAGCGTACATCGTGATTTCACAAAGGGTTTTCATTGCAATGAGCAGGGGCCTGCCAACGGTGGTCGACAACAGTTGTCAAGCATTTGTGGTCGATGGCCGACGAGCATTGGTTGATGGTAGTCGGTGGCTGTAGGAGTGAGAAGCGTTCACCAGGTCTTCGATTCAGAATGGCACTGAAATTTAGCTCCTTCTTTGAGAACTAGCTGTAGATTCATCTCTTCTTTTAGTTTAAGGCCTAGATCCCCTTTCACAAACAAAGAGTCTTGGAGTGGCTTCCTTACAAATAAAGAAGGAATTCATACCATTCCAAAAGGCAGTCTAGAGAGATTCCCCTAATCAAACAATATTTTATGGACATTAAGTGACTTAAAGATGTCAGAATCAATTAATATTAGACTCATTGATTTTGTCTCATCGAGAGACTCGATTTGATTATAAACTCGTCAAATTTGGAATCCATATGATCTTCCAATTGTCCACTCAAAATTTTCAAAAGTGATTTAATGACTTGATCCGAGCTTTATTCGACTCGGATTTGACCAATTTTGGTGTCATTGTGTTTGTCTTATCAAACTGGTTAGTTTGACTACAAGTTTGCTGAAATCAGAGTTCTAGATAATTTTTAATTAGAACATAAATGTTTCTTGTTAATGCTTTACCAAGTTTTAAATCACTTTTGAAAATTTTACATACACAAATCTTATGTATTTTTTTACCTCACTTAAATTTTGATATTTACATTCATAGCAATTCAATGCTTTAAACGAATGCTTGAAAATATGTATTTCACTTTTAGAAAACATGATATTAGTGTTATATTTTTATTTAATATTAAAATTTTTATGGCTATGTGTGTAAATATGAAAGTTTAAAGTTGAGATATGTAAATACACACTTAGTTTTCCATTGCATAATCTTCATAATCAAGAACATTTTATTTATCTTCATATAAGACAAAAAATTACCATAGAAAAATATTGTCATGCTCAACGGAATCTCTCCATAGTTGAAGTTACTATGGTAGGACTATAATTATGATTATAGGGTAATACATTTAATTAGAGATGTTCCAATGAAAATATCAACAAAATTCATACTCAGTCTATGAATTCATATGCATGCACAAAGTGAAACCCTTACACGACATCAAATAATTCTATTATTATGACAATAATGTAATGTTTCTTTTTTATTGTGACATTCGATAATTAACAATATTTTCAAAAAGATGTCACTTGCATTCAAGTTCAACGATTGGATTTTTCTATAGTATATGTGACTGTTTAAAGATAAAAAAGAATATTACAAAAATTTAGTAGAAGAAGAACATTCAATCTCACTGGTTTTGATGAGTTTACATAAATGTAGGAGGAACTTTTGCTCTCTATTCACTGCTTTGTAGGCACGTCAAAATTGGCATTCTTAGATCGAAGAATATTGATTCAAGCTCGTGTTCTAATGATTCTATGATCATGGAAACAAGAAGTAAACTTGGAATGTTTTTAGAGAAAAGTGTAATCGCACAAAGGATTGTGCTCTTCATATCAATGGCAGGAGTGTGTATGCTTATTGGTGATGGCATACTTACACCAGCTATTTCAGTTTTATCAGCTATCGATGGGCTTAGAGGCCCTTTTCCTAAAGTAAACAAAGGTAAGTTTCTCAAATAAAAGTACTAGAAAGAATACATAATCTTCAACATATTCTCTTACATACAATAATTTGAAATGTTGTAGCTATTGTGGAGGGTGTTTCTGTTGCTGTGTTGGTTGCTCTTTTCTTATTACAAAAGCATGGCACTTCTCGAGTGAGTTTCTTATTTTCTCCTATCATGGGAGCTTGGACCTTAATTACTCCTATGTTAGGTGTATATAGCATCCTGAAATGCTATCCAAGCATCTTCAAGGCTTTGTCACCTCATTACATAGTACAATTTTTCTTGAGAAATGGAAGAGAAGGTTGGCAATTGCTTGGGGGTACTGTTTTGTGCATCACAGGTATATTATTCTTAAACATTGTTATCTTCTTGTTGACAAAAAATTCGAAATGGTTTTTTGATTTTAAGATGCGGCCAGTTTAGTCTCAATTTTTTGCAATACTTCAATTTAAGCACCAAGGGACTAAACTAGGACCATTATATTTTTGTCATGATTACTATACGAGAGACTCTTTGGATCACTTCCTTAATATTCAAGGGGCTAAAATGGAGCGCTGCAAAACCCTTGACTAAATTCACCACATTAAAGTAGTCAGGGCACCATTTTTGGATTAAAATTGTTCATTATTCTAGTCTAAAAATGTGTAAAGATATCAATTTTGCCTTTTTTTTATCTAGGCGCAGAAGCAATGTTTGCTGATCTAGGCCATTTCAATAAAAGATCAATTCAGGTATGTGATTGTAAAGTTTGATCATGAAATCTCCAACAAACTAGTGGATTCTTAATTAATATTTTATTTTTATAAATTTCTTACCTTTTAATAATTGTATAATATTGTCGATCTCTTCATATTTGCAGATGGCCTTTCTTTTAACCATATATCCTTCATTGGTCCTCACATATGCTGGCCAAACTGCCTATCTCATCAGACATCTAAATGAACATAGGGATGGATTTTATAAATTTGTTCCACATGTTGTGTATTGGCCCATTTTTATTATTGCAACACTTGCAGCCATTGTTGCAAGCCAATCCCTAATATCTGCCTCTTTTTCTGTCATTAAGCAATCAGTATTACTTGATTATTTTCCTCGTGTTAAGATAACTCACACATCCCATAAGAAAGAGGGCGAGGTCTATTCTCCTGAAACTAACTACATCCTCATGGTTCTATGTGTACTGGTCATTCTTTATTTCGGAGATGGAAAAGATATAGGGAATGCATTCGGTATGATAAGTCAAACTTGTTTCAAGTATATTTTGTTCAATATATCTAACAATTTTATTTCACATAAAATAAAATTTGATATATTGTTCATCTATAACATTCATTGCAAAACAAATCTAATCGCTTCCAGGTCTATGATAACTAAAATTCAATCAGGATACCTTGAACTAAATTTTTTTATTCTTTTTTCATTCGTTTTCCTTTCATATAAAATCATATTAATGCACATAATTTGTTGCAGGTGTTGTGGTTATACTTGTAATGCTCATCACAACAATACTACTGACAATAGTCATGTTGATTATTTGGAGGACTCCACTCATAATCGCCATGCTATATATTGTTCCATTTTTCATCATGGAAGGAGTTTATACAAGTGCGGTTTTCACCAAGATCCCTGAAGGTGGATGGTTTCCTTTCATAATTTCTATCATCCTTTCATTCATAATGTTCTCTTGGTACTATGGGAGGCAGAGAAAGTTAGAATATGAGATGAACAATAAAATCTGTATAGACTACCTGAATGAAATCATGTCAGTGCCACAAATAGATAGAGTTCCAGGCCTGTGCTTCTTCTATACCAAGGTACAAGGTGGGATTACACCATTATTTGGACGGTATCTGAAGAACATGAGGTCCTTGCATAGGGTGACAATCTTTATCACTCTTAAATATATGTTAGTTGCCAAAATGAATTCTAATGAAAGAATTATCATAAGAAAACTTGGGATTAATGGAATATATGAGTGCACAATCTACTATGGTTATGCTGATTGCATTACTATGGAGGGAGATGAATTTTTTTCTGAAGTCAGAGAGAGTTTGGAACAACATATCAGGATGAATACAGATGGAAATTCTCCTTTTATTGAAGAGGAACTTTTTGAGCTAGCAAAAGCAAGAGAAGAAGGGGTTGTTCATGTCAGGGGGAAGGCTCTTTTTCATATAAGTAAGAAGACCAACTTGTTTGATAAGGTTTTACTTGGATTCTATGAGTTTTTGCATGGCAACTGCAGATCTGCATTGTCGAGCATGGGCATTCCCCTTCATCAGAGAGTGGAGTTTGGTATTCTATATGAGACATGAATGTCATGATAGAGATGTATGACACTTTCTACCTTTTGTTGTTTAAGTGTATGACACTTTCTGTTTATTTGTCATGTTAATCTCATAAAAGGTAGACAAATTCCAATATTTTCCTAAAGTTTGTTTGACATTATTAGTATATTCTAGTCCATCATAAAAAAATATGAAGAATATATTAATAATGACAATTATCTTGATAACATTACACTAAGGTCGTAAATTTTGAATTGATTTATATTCCTTACCTAATCTAGAAAACCTTTATTTGCTAAATTCTTTTACCATTTGTAATATGATCGAAATCAATCAAACACTTATAAACAACTTCTATCAAGTAGAATTTTTTTTCAATAGCCCCTTTAAAAATTTACCACTTTAAGATCTAAACTAATGTTTCATAAGCAATAAACATTTGTTGACAATTAAATTAACAATGTTCACAAAATGACTACAATTTAAATTAATTTAAACGCTATATTCAATATGAACATGCTAACTAATCATGTTTGCTCCATTTACATATTAATTTATATGTTAAATGTTGGCATCCATTTATAATGCGATACATACGGAACATCCTCGTTGAGTGCACGACACTGTAATTGAGGTATACACCATCATAGTCGTGCCCTAAGGCAATCATGGCCAAGCCAGCTTTGCTTCTGATATCCTTCAGGTTGACGTTCATTCCTGTGACACATGGTTGTATCTTGTTGATATGGACATTCCCGTGGTGCAGACTGTTGACTAGAGTTCCCGCACCGTGTTCAAACCTTAAGTCCAAGGCTCATATAGATGGATTTCATGTTGGAATCACTTTGCTCGACGATACGTAGACAGTTCGGCCTCTCAAACTCTTTTGATACTCATTTATTGTTTCTACGGAGGTCCAAGGACATGAATTGCTCACATTTGATTCTCCAGAAGTCCCACGAGACTTGGAAACCACCTTAGCGAGCTTCTCCATAAGCTTAATTTTTCTGGGTTCCGGCATGACAACGCCTAATTTAGGCATGGCCACACCCAGTTAGTGGTGTGACCATGCCTAAATCGGGCATGACCACGCCAAGCCGCCCTAAACTGCCTAAATGAGCTATAGTCGATGTGACCACGCCCGAAGGCGACGTGACCACTCCTGCTCAGCATAGGCTACAACATAATTACGCTAAAGTATAAGCATGAGCACGCCCAAATCTCAGCAGGGGCGCCCAATTTCATCGATTAACGTAACCATGCCTACGAGTGACATGACCACACTGCCCAAACAGAGTGCCCAATGTATTTACACCGAGCCTCAGCCGTGGTCACGCTAGGCCTTCGTCTGCGATGCTTTAAATAGTGGTGTGACCGCTCCTAAATGAAGCCATGTAGTCCTTTTATGACTTTGTTAATGTCATATTGTAGGCCCTGAGTGCGGATAGGCTGCCGCTCATTTAGGATATGATGATTCACCATCTATCCTTATGGCTCGGTTAGACCCTGGAAACATAGTTTGGATCTTATGAGTTGACTTAATTATTTTTTGGGTCTCGTATACCGATAAACCACTACTCATTTGGGATGTGAGGGATTCACTCTTTGCTCTATGACATAGCGAGAGGTTTAAAAACATAAAGATGTTTTTGT